TCAGAGCGAGGTATCATCGTCACAACAAAATTCAAGCTAACGAGTCAAGAAAACTCACCGGCAAATCCCTGAAAAGTGGTACACATACTCTACATCTGGCCTCTTTGATCAAGTATAAAGTGATTTGGTGAGTTAAGGTCATATGTCATCTTCGATGCATGTGATTGTGTCTGTCTCTGTATGTGTATGTGCCTGTTTGTGTTCGCTTATGCAAGAAACCCGAAATGATGGCTCAAAGAATCCGCCGTCGTCTTCTGGTGGAACCGACCTTCGAATCTCTTCACGCAACACTTTCACTCGAGATGGAAGTAAGCTCAACAACTATGAAACAAGCGATTCCTCGAAACCCAACTTTTCTTTGCAGTCATAAAACGACTGGAAAACCGCTGTCTTCGTGGGCATCCTTCCAGCCTTCAAGAGAGCAACTTCGGTATTGTTAAGCTCACGATAAGTGTGGTCGTGAGAAATGGTGTGGAAACAGCTAATCTGCACATGTTGCCTGCCAGTCGTATTTGGAGCACTTTTCCCAATTGGAATGGGGCGTTCTTTGTTCAGCTTGCTTTCGATCTTGGATGTGGGTGCTGTTCTGTCTTGTTCCGAAGTTGGCTTGAGAGATTGGGCTTCAGATACTGTGGTCCCTGTAGGTCTGTTTGGCATTGCTTTAGATTAAAATGAGTTTGTGTGTGAAAGTCTCTTAAGCCTTCGTTGCACTGCTCCTTTAGGATGTAAATGGACTAGTTTTTCAGCACGCAGGATAACTATTTGGCATTGTTCCGCCCCAATAGGTTCCCTTGACATTGTTACAAACAGCTCTAAAATATCTTCGACAATATGAAAACCAAGATGGTTCGGCCCCCGGTATGGTCGCAGGCACATTTCGATTTATACAAGTGGCTTGACCTCGTTGTCGCAACTTGGTCTTATTGTCAAGGTGACTATGTAGAACGCACCTTTTCGGAAGTCGTCTGCCGTAGTAGTTATCATAAACCACAGCATCAAACTGTGGACTTGGTACATTCTCAGACGTTTGGCCGGCATCGTAGTCGGCAGCATCAGTTACTGCTGCCATTTTCCGCAACAACCTACGAACGCGTCAGAGACAAGTAAAGTCAATCCCTCGACCAACGTTCTGCCGAAAACGGTTACACTATAACTCCTCTTTCTGTCCTCGCCTATCTATCTACTCTCATTATTCCTATCTTTAGCCTGTAATTGTGATGGGATCGGAAATTGAGTATTATCCCGACATAAGATTTATTTCTGAACAATTTCTTTTTGAGCTCCCTATTATAGCTAATCCCTTCAACATCCAGGAACGGTATTCGCTTACCTTCATCCACTTCCACTGTGAATTTAGTTTTTTCATCAATTTGGTTTATAAACTTCAGAAAATCTTCCAATTTTTCTCTTCCTCGTGACCAAAGTGTAAAATAATCATCCAGGTACCGCATGAGCACCGCCGGTTTTAACGATGCGATCTTGAAGCTCTCTTTTATTTTGTTCATGCATATGTTTGCCAAAAAAGGTGAGAGCGACGATCCCATGAGAAGTCCAAATATTTGTTTACCGATGTTCCCGTTGAATGTAAAATAGGTTGTACTTATTGTCAAGTTGATTAATCTTGCTAACGACTCCCCACCGATCCTTTGTGATCCCAGGATATCCTCCTACCGGTCCAGGATTTCACGCAGGTTCGTTAGCGCATTTGCTCCAGAGATATTTGTAAACATCAACTCCACATTGAAACATACCAATAAGTCTATTTCTTCCAGTGCCATGTTGTTTTTTTTGAGGAAATTCCAATAAATTTTTCACCGTGTTTGATATCCCCTCATCTAATTTCTTGTGTTTCTAACATATAAACTTTGCCCATTTGTGTGCTGCTCCATACTTCGTGTTGACTATCAGCCTTTCTTTGCCTATCTTCGGTAGTCCGTAGGCTGTTGGTGGTCGTGCATCCTTTCTTATGATTGAATTTCTTGTCCATGCCTCAATTTCCCCGTTCCTATGCATATCTTTCAGTATAGCACTTAGGATTCCATTGATCTTCATAGTTGGGTCCTTGTTTGGTATACGATATTTGGTCCTGTCTCGTAGAATATGTTCCATTTTTTGCCCATTAT